ATTAATACTCACTAACCTAAAAATGTTGATTTGGAGTTAATGTCATTAAGAGTACCCGAAAAACAAAAAAATCCGAATTATAAGGAATTTATTCCAAGTACTTAATCTTTATAAAATTCTACTAGTTAGACATAGGTAATTCTAGTTTCACTAAGACTACTATAGTTTTATTAGGATTCGATGCTTACAAGAATTCATCCTGCATCTTATGTAAAAGCTATCATTTGCAATAATGAGGATAGTTTTCACACTTCAAATTTAAAGTTTCAAGTTTAAACTTTAACATATGAGTGGCCAACGATTTTAAAAAGTTCTACATTCGTAGTGTTGAGTTACACATTGAAGATTTTGATTTTCATCACTAATTAGTGACTTTTGATCAAAAGATTGAGTTGAAAGACTAAATTGTTGCGATTATATAATTTCAATAGGGGTTTGTTTAACTCCATTGTGTAAGCTAAAGAGAAAACAATCCATGACAATATCTGAAATTTAAAGCTTAGGAGAGGGAAAAATAGATAGTACAAACTACAAAATACTGATTTGAAAAAATTTTCAAGTTCAAGACTTTTGGGAAAATATAATTTTCTAACCTCCCCTAACTTGCCATTATTTATGAGCTCAACATAAACATTTTTCCCAAATGCCAAATATTAAATAAATAAATCAATAGATAAAAGTAGGTTTTACCAGTGAAATGCCAAGGTTGTATATTCAAAACTTCTATGTTATTGCCATAAGACTCATAGCAAGTTAATTGGACTCATCTTCTTAATCAATGAATTGATAATTGCCAGAGAATACACATGAAATTTGGTGTGATGATCTCTAAAGCTTCAACCAACATCACAAAAGAGCGCACATATATCTTAGCAACACTTTTCACCCTTTATAGCAACTCCTGATCTCGAATACCTACCATTCAATCTAGAATTTGTAGGTCAGAATTACCTAATTAGACAATGTAACCATGAAAATAATAAAAACAATTCAAAGAAAAGACATATATATATATATATATATATTCCTTAGCATGAAACTCATATGAGATAGTTGCCATAAAACCATCTTTGATAGTAATATTTTCAAAGGTGATTTTGATCAAGTCACCAAGAGGAGGGAATTGACGAATTTCTTTGTTAGCAAGGATTTCATAAATGCTTTAGATCAAGTCGTCGGAGGCAATGAGTGATTGACTTTTTGTTAAATGGGACTTTCTTACTGGACTCCTCAAATGTAAAAAGAGAAACCATAGTCTATGAAAGCCTTGGCAGTGAGGCTTGAAGGAGACAAGGATTAGAAGGTGCAAAAAGAACATTTTCAACATTTTGAATAGAACAAAATTAGTGAATATATTACACCATTTGTCTTGCTTTTACACATGCAATGTACCTTGGAGATTGCTAGATTCTTACGTTGAAATAACATCATAAACAGTAAAAACAACTTTCCTCATCACTCGATAATAGAAAAACACTCAATTGAAAATCAAATTTTGGCAACCTTCCATTCCTAATTCTTTCCTCATTTGATGCAACAAATCAATAGTAAGGAAATCATAATTAAGCACTAAATACAAATTAAGGACAAGGACATGTATCCAATATAATAATATATAAGTTTCCTATCCTCATGAAGGTATTTATGCATGTAAGCTTCAAAATCCATCCTCTAAGTTTAAATTTTTTTCAAATTAGTCCCATAGCTTTTAAATTGTTGTGATTGTGGTTGCTTCTTTCTTATTTTATTCAAATTGTCCAAGGGTTTTCAAGAATTGCAAATTCATCCGTTTTAAGTGAGTTGTCTCACCTTATAATTTGGACAAGTGATGACTCTTTCTTTTCATATTTTTCAACCTTAATTTGTCAATTTTTCATTTTTGAAAATTTAAGTGGTCATTAACAACATATTAAAAGATGCACTTTATATTATTTAATAATTAGCTCTTTTTAATTTATTGGACTCATGATATTATATGCATAACTCATTTAATAATATGGCTTATATAACATCATTGGTTTCAAAATTTTAGTCTCAAAATGTTGTCTTCTATTCTATATCACTGCTCTTTCTAATTAACGTCCCTAATAAGTCATGACTTTTGGAACATTCTTATATTTTTTTTTTCAAATGAAAAATATTAAATAAAGAAAAACATAAATAAAAGTAGCTTTCATGAGTAAAGTTTCGAGGTTGTATATTCAAAGCTTCAATGTTACTACCATGAGATTCATAGCAAGTTGCACCCATTTGCTCTAGCTATCTTGATGATTCCTAGTGAACTTTCATGAAGTTTTGAGTGATGAACAATCTTAGTAGCTTCAATTTGTGTCACTAAGACTCGCACACATATCTCAACTAGTTTTTTCACCCTTTGTAGCCACTCTTGATATGGAATTTGCAAGTTAAAATTACCTAAATAGATGATGTAACCATAAAAACATTTCAAAGAAAATACATACATATATGTACCTTAGTTCAACACTAATATGAAACAATTCATAAGACAGTCTTTGGTAGTAACATTTTCATAGATGATTTCAACCAAGTCACCAGGAGGTAGAGATTAACTAATATCCTTAGAGTAGGATGTTCAAGGTTAATTTTTATCAAGTCATCAAAAGGCTCTAAGGGACTAATTTCCTTGTTAGATAAGAACTTACCATTGGACTCCTCCATTGTTAAAAAGAAACCAATCTATGAAAAGGCTTTGTAAAAAGAATACTTTTCTCGTATTCTAAATAAAATAAAATGAATATAAGGCAAATATTTTAATTGAAAACACACAGCAAAGTGCAAAACATAATTATACGAGCAGTATAAACTCTCATACAATTAAAAACATCATAAGCAAAAGTTATTGCATCATTTGTCTCCCTTTTACACATGCAACACACCTTTACTATTACTAGATCATTAACTTGAAATAAATATCATACATTAGTAACAACTTCATTTGTCAGTCAGTAATAGTGAGAGACTCATTCTCATTCTTTACTCATTTCATATGCATGCATGTAAGTGCATCTCAGTTCAAGTAACCTCTAAACCAAGCCTTACAAATATATCAGAACGACCAGCTCTTGGTTTGTTCTTAAAATTTAATAGAATCAATATCCTTAAGTTCACAAAGTCTTTTCTTTGAAGAAAGATTAATGCACATATCATATTTGGAAATAATAGCATCAAGTTCACAAATTTATCATTTAAAAATAATATAAACAAGGATTTATGATCATGCATATCAAATCCCAATGCTATAACATCATTCAAATTATTTACAACTTAATTTTGCCACTGAATATGGATAACATCATCATACATATGCATATGCATCTTAATTTAGACGAGATCCTAGCCCTTATTAGTTATCAATATTTCAAAGAACTAGGTTTTGTTCTGTGTTTAAAATTTGGACATCAATTGTAGATAAACAGAGGTTAAAAAAGGAATTTTTGGTTTAAGGGCTAAAAACTTTACATGTCTACATTCATAAATTCATATAGACATATACTAATTCCAAAATATAATCTTTCAGACAAACCTTAGTGTTCCCACCATAACGGTCAATCCGTTTTCCTGTTATCAAATGTTGGGTCAAAGAAAGATCTAAATGCTTAATCCCATAAGCAACACTAGTCCCTCCATCTCCATGCTTATTTGAAACCCAATATCTTTTTTTAGACAAGTATTCTATGCTAACAAAATCACATAATAATTTATCACAATCACATAATCAACTTTATGACAAAGAGCTTAATGGGTTTAAGAGCATTCTGTAATCTGCCATAAATATGAACTCCAAGTAATTAATTGAAACAAAGCTACATATACAAAGACACAAAAGCAAATAGAGGGAAAAGACCTAGGGAGAGGAGGTGCCCATGAAACCTAGATGGTAGGAAGAAAGAGTCTTGGTGAAATCCATCCATGCTAAGCTATAGACTTGAAGAGCATAGAAAAAACTAAATCAGACTTCAACCAACAATAAGTGAAACCTTATTTTCTCCAACACTTCTAGGTGATAGAAAGCACCAATTTTAGTCTCCGAAGGCATTGATAACAAATTCATATATCTAGGGCTGAGATTGGGGTTGGGAAAGTAACTTGGGAAAGAAGTATTTTAGCAACCAAGCTAGAGAGGTAGCACTGGGCAAAGAAGTTTTTGGTTTGAGGGGAGTGGGGTCTTCATTGATTTATGTGGGTGGGTTTTTTTGATTTATAACTTTTAGTTGTAAGTGCATCTTTTAGTCATATATTTACATAGACTTGCATTAATTAATTTTAATACCAATATGATGCAAATGAATTTAATTGAATTATTGATAAATTAAAAATTAAGTTTTATTTTTTTAATAGAAATTCATGATCAAAAGTTACACTTATCTATATTCTAATTATACAAATTAAAAAAATATAAATTAGAAAAACCTTACTAAGATTTGCAAAAGAAGTATATTTATCCTACAACTTTCATTAATTATTTGGTTTTTTGTGTTTTTAGTGTTTTTATAATATATTATTATGATTATTAGTTATATAAGAACAAAAATAATTTTAATATTATTAAACAAATTTATATATTTTATTATTAGTGTTAAAATTTATCTTAAAGTAATTGTTAATTTTTTATTTTTGGTTTAAATTTTCAGTTGTTGTAAAACTAATAAAATTCACAATTAAATATTTTTTTAAAAATTACTATACAGATTACGTTACTATTGATTGATAGAGAGATTGATAGAGAGCACTTTCTATACCAATAGTTAAATGATAATATAACTTGTATAAGGTAAATTGCAATTCACACGTTTTGAAATCGAAATTCAAAAACCAGAGTCATACCAAAGGAGAGCTCAACTTCATTATCGATTGAATTAAACTGTTGGAGCCTAAATGGACTGCGAGCAACTTGGCTACTCTTCAAACCATTCCAGGCTGCTGCGATCTTATGTGGCCCCGTCGGCGCGTCCCCTCTTCCTCTTTTCCACGAAGGCATTACTCGACCATCGCTCCTCGGTTCCCACCAAATCAAGACCCTGGTGCCGCTCGTTCAAGTCAACGGCCACGATTCCACACTCCGTCATCAACTCCCAATGATGTCATTTTTCCTCTTACGTTGAAAACCAAAGCCCAGGTGATCTAAACCATCCATATTCATCAAACGGTGAGAAGTAACAGAACTGCATCATCCTTGACGCTGACGCATCATACCTAACGGAAGTTGAATCTAAGCGAAGAAAATCGGAATCCTACATACCCGCGTAAAAATGCAGACGCGCCGTGCATGATCCACCGTTCTGCAACCCTAGAATCAGATCCACATTGAGGAAGCAGAAACTGTCCTTGTTTTTTTGTTGATTTTTGGAATTCCTTTTGCATTTGAAATTTAATGTGGGAAGCAAATTTGACGTATTAGAACAGCAATCATGGCGGGAAAGAGTGACGCGGTGTCGGTTAAGGTTCCGCACAGGAACCTGAGGAAAGAGGGAGAGATGGAAATGGTGGACGAGCCTCGACATTGGATCCATCACAATTCGTCTTCTAATTCCACTCTTCCGCCATCTCCGACGGTTCTCAACGGGAGCCCCGATTTATCGTCTCCGATGGACGTCAGCTCGAGGCACCAGTGCGGCTTGATGACTCTCATTCTTAGTTGTACGGTAGCAGCCGGGGTTCAATTCGGTTGGCCCTTGCAGTTATCGCTGCTGACTCCTTACATTCAGGTGCGGTCTTTAGATTTTGCTCTGCAATTCTTGATTCGTGTTTTGTGTCCATCATTAAGAACCTGTTAGAGGAATTGAGTAAATTTTAAATAAAAGGCAATACGTTCTAACTCTGTTATGTTTGAAATTTATTGAAATGCATGAGCCTGATGCTGATAATTTTTCTGTTTTAAATCACATCATCTAAAATTTTGAATGTGGGGATGAACAAAATGATCAGCTTCCGGCAATTTGTGACTCTTGATTTGGTTGGAAGGTAAACATTTGAGCTATGGGGTTGATGATATTCTTTATCTTCGTCATATATTTGTTTGTTCATTTGTGTAGCTTTTTCACAATTATTTACGATATTTAGAATATCTATTGAGCT